TTGAGCCACATGGCGGCAGCAAATTTCACACATGATAAGGCACATGAGACAGCATGCTTCACGACCCCCATGCATGCCCGATTACCCAGTAAAAACCCTTCACATGCATCTGTTTCCCTGCGATGCACTCGTGTGTCAGCAGCTACTTTGCTGCATGGAATTTTAGAATGATCCGTGCAGCATGCAGACCGATTTTCGGCGGTGCTCATGTGTGCATACACACATCCTACAAACAAAAAGTTGGTTATTTTGTGCATCGCTTTCGAGCCCCGCACGGCTGCCTTAGCAGCCGTTCTTCTTCTTCCACAGCAGAATGGCCTCTCTGTGGGCCTCTCGCTGGCACTCTACCACGTGCTGCTCCGAGAAGCCTTGCTGCTTTGCCCAGGTTCCGGCTCGCTTGTACATGCGAGAAGCATAGTTCTTCTGGATACAGCCGTCCTCCCAGACAAGGGGGAACTTTCGCTGTCCATGCGAGCCTCGGGCTTCCTGCTTCTGTGCTTTGCCTTGGCCTTTCTGCGAAGCACTCTTGTCCTTGGACAACTTTCCTTTGCCTTTGCCTTTGCCCTTGCCCTTCTTCTGAGCTTGGCCTTGGCCAGCCGTCTTGCTCTTGTTCTTGGGCAAGTTTCCCTTGCCAGTCGTTGCAGCTGCAGCGGCCGGCTTCTTGAGAAGCCCAGCTTTGCGATCTTTGAGCTTCTGGAACAAAGCTTCGTCGTCGAGATCGTTCTCGGGAGGGAGCGACTCCGTTGGTTCGGCAGCTTCGGCTGGAGGCAGGGCTAGCTGCAAGGCCGAGTCTCGCCCTGGCGAGGTCTGCTGTGTCTGCTGCTTGGCAGCCGCAACCGCCTGGGCTGGGTTGCCCTGCAGAGCAAAGCCGACCCCGGCACTGCTGCTGCTCAGCTCGCCTCCTGTGATGGAGGTCCGTCCAGGGGTCCTGCAGCAGGTACAAATGGAAAAGCATGCATGGCCTCAATGTGTATACAGATGCAAAACAAAGGAAAAGATAAAAGAAGCATGAAGTCCTCCTTTGCAAGACATTGGCGCCTGCAGCAAGCTGCAGCTGCCTTCGCCCACCATCCTGGATGGCATCCTGACCGCAGCCGTGGTCCAGCAGTCTTTCCAGTCGCCCGAAGCACTGGTCCATGCGGCTCTGGAACTCGTCCGCCTGCTGCTCAGACCTTGCGGCCTTGCCATCTGCCGTCGGCAGCCTCTGCTTCTTGTTCTTCTGCAACAGCTTGGAAGTAGATCGCATCGGAATGTGAGCTAGCCAGATCCCAGCCTTCACGTCTTTGCCCAGGGGCGGGTCTTCAGGCTTGTAGGCTCGGTCGAACAGAGCCTTCGGCAAGCTGCTGGGGTCCTCGGGATACGTGAGCAGGCCGAGTTCCGTCGGCCCTGCATCCGTTTTCACGGATTCCCAAGATCTCTTGAAGACTTGGACCTCTTCGTAAATCTCTTCATATGTCGGCATCTGACTGAGCTCGGCGGCTGCCAGTGCCAAGAGGAAGGCCATGCCTTTCTTAACCGTTTGTTCTGTGAGGTTCCTCAGCCCCAGCATCAGATACCTCCTGAGCAGGATTTCCAGCCTTGCCGGTGCTGGCCCCTCTTGCAGCATAGACCACTCAGTCACCGTGATGAAGTTCTCCGGTTTCAGCAAGGTCTGGGGCTTGCTATCCTCCTTTCGCTTCTTCGCCGTATATGTACTTTCTGCCGGCGGTGTCGCAGCCGTGGCCGTGGCCATCACTTTGGCTTCAACAACTGCAAGCAGTTTTGCTGACAGGGTGCTCTCGAAGCTCAGATCCTGGATCGTCTGCTTCATCTGCATGGCTTGCCCTAAGGACAAAGAGCCGAGGCTCTCCAGCCGGATGCACCAGCTGTTCATCAAAGCATCGACCGAAGCCTTACTCCCAGTTTTAGCCCACTCGGCCATAGGCCCTAACTCGGCCTGCAACTCTCGGGCCATCTCGCCGTGGCGAGATATATATAGCCGTGGCCAGAAAAGGAGAACCCAGAGGCCCCCTCTATAGCAGCCAAGATGCTACAACCCCACTATATATATATATATATATATACTATACAGGAGCCAAAATGGCAGCTGCATGCACATCCATGGAAAAAGACCATGCTGCATGTAGCCAGCATGTGTGTGTACGTGCAGATTCCCAAAATCCATGGATGCATGCAGGATCAATCTTTTTCATCGGAGGGAAGCAGGCAGGATGATTTGTCGTCGGCCTCCGGCCATGTCTCTCCATGTGCATGCAGACAGAAAGTCTCTGCATGGCACCAGATGCAGGCTGTCTATGCAGGAGCACTCCCCCACGAGGTCATCGCAAACCATAGAAGAAATGGAATGCACAACACTGTAGGGTTGCCCTGCCAGTTCCACGAATGTCCAGACAAGGGCACACTCCAAGCAACCGTTCCCTTGAAGCAGCAGCACATCGCCACGACATATCCGTTCCCCGGAGGGCAGCCTGACTTTTTCTGCCACATGGACCACTTGTGCCGAGGTCAGCTCCGGAATGATTGTGCGAAGTGCTGCCGCCTTCCTCCGAGAAGCTGGCTTCGGGTCCTGCAACTGCAGCATCGCTGAGAAACAATCAGCTCTTGCCAAGCAATATAGTTCTTGTCCAAGAACTTCTCGGAGAAGACCCTGCTCGTAAGCAGAAGTCTTCTTGATGTCCTCGGCGAATCGCTTGATAGTGCGATGTTTTCGTTCGTGAGTGTAGCACTGAACCATGAACCCCCACCTTTCCAGGTGCGAGCCGAAGTGCAGAAGCCAATGGAACTTGGAGTGCATGCGGTCCTGCCACTCTGCAGCATGCACCGATTCCAAGAAATCGGAAACGTGCTTTCTCATCTGGGCGGGCGAAACCGCTCCCTCAGTCCGAGCTCTCTGGCAGCATGCCACGAGTTTGTCCAGCTGCAAGAAACATTGGATCGCTTGCACTGCCTCAACATTTGCATTTGCCCTGGCGAGCTGCCTGAAGAAACAAGCCAGTATTGGAGACAGTGTCAAGCCTTCGGAGGCCGTGCATTTAAAGGTCTCGGCTTCCTTGCATGCTTTTGCTCGGGACTGACCCAGCATCCCTTCGGCCTTGGCCGAGATGTTCCGGGGCAGGGTCCACTTGGCCACGTACTCGTCGGCGATTTCCCAGAGATTGGGAAATTGCTTCTGCAAAGCTTCCAAAACAAGCCAGGTCACTGTCTGGAAGACACCGGAGACCAGCAGGGTGTGCATGCTGTCGTGGCAATACTGCGAGACCGGCCGGACCAGCCATCGTTGATCCTCTTGTTGCAGCAGGGAAGAACTATTATAAGTCCAGCCGGTGGCTTGCTGCCACGTGCTGAAATCTGCAGCATTCAGAAGCATCTTCTTCTCTGCCAGTTTAGCCATGGCCTCGTGGATGGATTGGTCGGTCGCAAGCGAAAGCTTACTTTCTCGGATCTCAGAGGAACCGACCACGGGGAGCCCGCTGCTGTGCAGGACATCACATCGGTGTGCAATTACATTTTTGCATAGCATGCACATGCGGGTCCCAGCATCCCCCTTGCAGCTCCATAGAGCTTTATGGGCAGCACCGTCTTGAACGATCATAGATAAAACCACCCGGAAGAGAACAGGCTGACCTCCTGCAGGTCGCCGCAAGGATATGCAGCCGTGCTCCAAATGGTTGGCCGGTCGCATGAATATGTCTCGCAGGATCTTCGAGATCCATTGAGAGACACCTGCTTCGGCCTTGGCCATCAGGCTCGATCGGAGCAATCCTATGCAAAGCCAGGACTCCTCGTGCTGCAATGTATACGATCCAAGTTCTACGAACGAGGCATAGCAAGCCCATATCTTCCTCTTCGTCTGGACTGCTAATGGATTGCCCGGCACGATCTCGTCCGTATAAAGGATCAGCCGCCATGCCTTGGCGGGGCTCGGGGGAGTCTTCTCGATGCATCCCCAAAAGTATCGGGCAAAGCTGCTCTCGGCATCCGAGATAGCAGCTTGCAGCAGAGCCCAGAAATCGACACTGGGTATCTGCAGCTCTGCACCATCTGTCTGCAAAAGTGACAGTGTTTTGAGGATGTTATTTTTTTTAATGGTTCCCAGGCAGCCTCGGCTATATGTTTTCTCTGTGTGAGTTGAGGTACACCCTCCTCCCGGAGAACTTTGCAAACTTCGGACAAAGCCGAGGCTGTGAGATGGGTTCTCAGAGCATTCACCCTCTGAAGCTTCGCTGGTCTTTCGGCAACAGCATCGGTGCTGCTGGAGGCCATGGCCCTATATGCTCACCACGGCACCAACATGCAAATGCCGGAACATCTCCCCTGGAGACTCTTCCTGTGCCTGCAGCAGCAAGCAGCCACCCTCCTCGGAGGCTTCCACACGCCTCCGTGGAGGCTTGCACACGCCTCCGTGGAGGCTTCTCGCATCCTTGGATGCTGGCTGGCCATGGCAACAACTAACCAAGCAAGAGGACGGGTGACACAACAAATGGCCCTAGAAAGGGGTGCCTGTCTGCGAAGACAACTGCATCAAACCTTCTCTGTGCTCGACTCTGGGCATCTGCATGCATGCTGGACGACTGCTTGAGCCCGGCTCTCCGATGCCCAGACAACACATTCCCGACAGGGCCACGAAACAGCAAGCATATGATATAGAATATGCTATATCATATGCCAAAAAAAACATATGATATAGAATATTCTATATCATATTCAATCAAAATCGTGTGTATGATATAGAAAAAACCATATCATACAAATCTAGATAGCAAGACTTATATGATATAGAAAAATCTATATCATATAGTGGCCGATTCCGGCATATGATATAGAATATACCATATCATATGTAATGCTTGCATAAAATATGATATAGAAAAAACTATATCATATGGTATGCCTTGGAAAAAGGTTTCCATGTTAAGATTAGAAGAAAATTAATCTTCACCAAAAACCCTAAACCCTAAACCCTATAAGAGGAAGAAGGGCGGAGACACTCTTTTTTTTCGGAAGACGGCAGGCGGCTCCGAAGGCCTAGTACCGCTGCCTCAGCTCCATGCAAGCTATCTGAAACAAGCTTGTCACGGCCTTGCCGTAGCTGTCGGGGCCTTCGGGATCCTCGGGATCCTTCTTGTCCGGCATTGGGACGTGGTCCGGTTCCGGCGGCGGCGACTCCTGCCGCTTTCGTTTGGCCTTAGCCTTGCTGCCCTTGCTCTTTCTGTCCTTGCCGGTCTTGCCAGCCTTAGCTGGCATAAGCAGCCTGGGCAAAAGCCTCACCGGCTTTC